CGCGTGCGTTCCATTTGGTACACCACCCACTCAGTACAGCGCTCCCCCCACCCTGTGCAGCGCTTCGTTGCCCCATAGGGAGCTTCATGGTTGGGTCCTTCGCCAGGATAATTCAGTACGCGCTGAACTCCAGAACTTTGATACACCAAATGTCTGACATAACTGCTATTCGTGAACACAGAGCATTTTATATTTTGAATCATGTGCCGGCCTGGGGGCGGAAGAACCGCCCAAACAAGAAAAACGCAACGCACACATTGACCCAGGGCTGCACAGTAGGAACCACACGCAATCGAACACCAAATCTTACAGCCCGTTCTCTATGGGGGCAGCGGGGATGACTAAGTCCGCCGACCCTGTCGGCATGTGCGAAGGGCTTGGCTGTTCGAGTCGTCGTCTCCGTCGGTCGTCGCCTCCGTCGTCTCCTTTCCCTGCAGCTTCCTTCTCATGCTCGTGAGCGAGAGGAAAATCGAGCAGTGTCGTAATCGAGTCGAAGGGAAGCCCCTTCCCTTTGATCCCTTCCCCAGGGGGGGGGTCCCTGGGGGGGGTGGAGGGGCAGATTCGTTTTTCCTCGGGCGGCCTAGAAACCTCGAAAACACTCCAAAGGAGGTCCGAATGCCCAAGATGGCCCCCGAGACGGCCAGAGAGGGCCCCGAGTCGCCCAAAGATCGGCCGAAAACGCCCAAGATAGCCCCAAGACCGTCCAAGAAGCCTCCAAGACGTCCCAGGCCCCCTCCAAGAGACCCCCAGGAAGCCCCAAGAGGCCCCCACGAGGCTTCCAAGCGGCCCCTCAGAGCTTCCCAAGAGGCCCACAAACTACCCCCAAGAGGCCCCCAAGAGCGCTCGTCGTCGTCGTCGTCGCCATGCAGGGTCGGAGGCACCGTCCGTAAGGCCTTCGCAATAGTCCTGTATTGGGGGGGGTCCTTCTATGTTGTACTGTTATGGGTCGTCGGCATTCGGTTTCTCTGTTTGGTTTGTGTTGTTTGTCCTGATGTTGTCTCTGCTATTCAAGTTCCACGCCCCTCCACATGGAAGGACAAGAAGAAGAACAAGAAGGATGAAGAGGAGGAGGAGGACGACGACGAGGACGAGGAGGACCAGCCTCCCGCGCTGGAGGGGAAGAGGTGGAGAAAAGCGGGTGGAGCCTAAGCCCAATCAGCCCATCAACGCCCAAGGCCAGGGGCTGCCCCGCACGGCCTTCTCTTTCCCCTGAACCGAAGTCACTGAAGCAACGGCCGCGCACAGAATGATAATAGAGCGCCCAATGCCTCGAAAACGTCGCCCGCAGCAGCGGCCTCAGAGAGAAACGAATATACAGGATCAGAAGTACAAGTTCTGGCTATCAAAACGAGGCTGCGCACCTCTGTCTGCCCACGGGCACGCGCCGCTTCTGTGCACCGTCCGGCCGCGGAGCACTGGCCGTCGCGAGTTCCCCCGTCTGCGTGAACTAATCTACCTCTCGCGATATGGCGGGACTCTCTGGGAAGACGTTGGCCCAGGACTTCCGTTCGCCCAGCGTGCGAATCACAAGGCAATCGGCAACCTTATTGATATCCACCGGCTGCCGAACGACCGCGTCGTCAATGTCCCGGGATGGCTTCCAGCCCCTGTCGAGCATGGCGGACACATTCCGAATGATACTACAAAGTGCTGGCTCCCAAATTGGGATGGCCAGGGAGAAGTCTGCCTATTCACCACGACGGCCAACGGTTGTCAACCCGCGATGATGGAAAATCTGCCCGCGTTGTCTCCGGCGCTGTCTCGACGCGCTCCGGTGGCATCCGTCCTATGCGGTGTGTCGCCACCCTCTACCGTTTCGCAACCAACCTGTCCAGATGCATCGTGTCTGGCCTCGGTTCCGCGGTTCTGAACGATCTCAGTTATTGCATATGAGCTTTCAGATGCTGGGTAGAGGGCCATACATTCCGTCCGAATCTTACAATATTTCCGAGTAGCGCGCCAGTGCTCCCAATGCACGAGAATCAGCGAATCCCTCCATTCGACAAGGCCGCGAAATGCAAGACATATTTGCTGGACCCTTTCTCCCCCTCCGCTTCTCGCTGTACATGTGTCCGTCTCCCACCATAGGCGACTCCTTATCTGTCGCCCCATGGACAAGCAGTTCATGTCGCCATGCAATGAAATGACAAATTTCTCGCTCCATGTCCCTGTGAAGAAGTCGCGGAAAATGTGAAGATGCAGTGGTCTGGTCCTCATCGTCCTGAACCATCCTTCCAATAAGCGAAGCTGTGCGGGTCATGAACACCGACGGCCGTCGCTTCGACTTACATCGGAACCCAACATCTTCCGCTGGAAAGAGCAATCCCATCGGCGAACACGTATCCGCACAGCTTGGGCTGAATGCCAAATGGAAGCACAATGAGCTGCACCCGCCGAGGGCGTATTGCTGGACATCCGCTGCTCCAGCAACCGCCCTGGCGAACAATGGGTTCGCGCAAAGCACCGCACGCCATGCACATCAGAGACGAGGTGTTCCATCGAAAACCTAACGCAGCAGATGCGCGAGTAAGTTCCCCGACCATCGTTGCAAACTCTTCTGCATATGTAACTAACAAGAGTACGTTGTTTGCCCAACTCAGCAGAACAATTTGGAGGTTCTCAATAAGAAATCCTCTGCCGTCTGCCGTCCACAAGGCTTGCACGTCCGGGAGCGCCCATTCGATTATCATGTTGAAGATTGTTAGTGTTTCTCCTCCTCGTCCTTGCTTCCAACCGCGTTCCAAATCGAACTCCTGGCACGGCATAGTAATTATCCGGTAAACCCATGCGGCAGCTCATGCGAGAGACCTCCCGCAGAAGTGTTGCTGTCAAGTCGTGGAGAAGTCCGCGCCCGAGCATCGCTTGGAACATGCTGTCGCGCTCCACTGTATCGGGTGAGCGGTCGTAAGGAGGTAACGGCCATTGAACTGGCCGCTGGGTCCTGCTCGTATGGCATCTCGAAATATCACCTCAGCTTGTCTGGCGTAAGGTGGGGTAACACTGATGATAAGCTTGTGCGCCCTACTGCCGCGTAGTTCAATGTCATCGATATTGTCAAGAACATTGACGGGAAGGGACCCTTTCAGCTCAGCTACTACGTCCTTAGCCTGGGGCCTCGAAGAGAGCCTCGAAGTACCCGCTGATTTCCGATCCTTCCATGCACCCGTAACCCAAAGTACGTGGGAGGATGGTGGAGTTAGACCTTGAAGAGGTAAACTCCTCCATCTTCTGTATGCGGGTGTCGGCCTGTGTTTGATGATTTTCGACCTCCTTCAAACGCCGGGTGACCGCCCCGAATAATATTGCCTTCAGTTCAGTTCGTAGAGCTCCCACGGCTGTTTCCGTATGCGCATCGATACCGGTCTGCATCTGAGTAGCCCATGCTGGCCTGTCGGAAGAAACCGCTGCAAGCAGAGAAGAATGACCCAAATAATGCTAAGCATGGGATCGCGAGCCATCAATAAACAAAAAAACGACCCAGCAACACCCCATTGACGTCGATCACACGGGCACTCGACAGCCGTGCACCAATGCGGGCCGGCGGAATGAGCGAAGCGATTAAACAATGCGAAGTATGGGATAGCGTACTGCCGCTAGGTGTGCGTCTGCGCCTCATGGCAGCCTTGAGGCAAAAGGGAGCCCCCTTGAGCCAAATGGCAGCCCTTGAGCCAAAATGGGCCCTACTTGCGCCAAAGCGGTGTCCTCAGTAAAGAACCCTCCAGTAAGGGTTGAGTAGCCCAGACTCTTTAGTGATGACTTCTTGGAGATGGATCCTTAGTTCGAGTTTTCCTCTGCTAGGAACCCCATCAGTACGCGAACTGCAGTAAATCCTTGTTGTGGATTCCTTATAAGGAACCCTCACTGCCGAAGCCTCCCTAGGAAACCCTTGCTGGGGAACCTGCAGTCAAGCAAGCCTCGATGTAAAATCCGTACGTGGTCACGCGCGCGTGCTAAGAAGTACATGACGGGATCCTTCCAAGAAATCGGTAACAGTGAATCGTGGCTACTCAACCCTTACTGAGAGTCTCATCACTCAGGACATCCTTACTGAGGAATCCTTGCGCAGCAACCCCGGACTTTGGGCATGCTTCAGGTGCTTGAGCCCACGAGCCTACCGCCTTTCTCCACCTCCTCCTCTCCAGGCGTGGGGGAGTGGTCCTCCTTGTCCTCGTCGTCGCCGTCCTCCTCTTTCTCTTCCTCCTCGTCCTTCTCCTCATCCTCCCCGCAGGCGGGGGGAAGGGAACTGAACAACTAAATACACAATGAAAACTACAAAAACATAACAAGACATCAAAGACCGAAGACCGACTGCTCCGAAACCTCAAAAACACAACGACAACCAAACACATCAAACAAACATAAGCATAGCTAAACGACTTACTCACCCCGCCGCCCCTACAGAGTAAGGGCTGTACGTTTGCTGTGGGGGTGCTCCTTCTGGTGTGGAGTAGTTTGGCCTGGGTATGCGGTTTCTTTTGTTTGTGTTAGGCATGTTGTGCTTGAATGATTTGGTTGTCACTCCCCAGCTGGAGGAAGAGGAAGAACTGGAAGATGATGAAGAGGACGATACAAAAGGAAGAGGAAGGATCATGGGATTGAGGGTGACGAAGTGACGGAGGAGAAGGAGGAGGGCGAAGGGGCGAGAGAACGGAGGAGCGAAACTGAGTTGGAAAGAATGCTGCTTCTGCTCAAACCCTTGGGAGGAGGAGGAGGGGGAGGGGAGAGGCATGGCCTTCAAATGGCCCAAGACAACCCCCCCTCAAAGGGTCCCATGTCTAAAATTACAAAACCGCTCCCAGAACCGTCACATTCTTGACAAGCGCTATCTAAGCATCCGATAACTGTCGCAAAAACGAGATCGAGAGAATGCACATCAAATGGCTATACTCCATTTCTATACCCTTTACTGTGAGACAGCACAATACGCAGAGTTCAACACCAAATGGAGCAAATGGCACATGAACAGAAACACTGCTGGAGGCGCAACGTTGCAAACGGACCTTGTGACCCTTCATCTGGTACAATTGGGTGCCGCTCATTGATTGCCAATACCGCACTTTGCCATCCCCGTGGGCAGTGGCGAACTTGGTACTGGGCGTCAAAACTACGCTTTAGTTATCGGCGTGACTGTCGCTGGTGACATGCGATCTGCTTCTCAATTACACATCTGCCACCATCCGCTACTCATGATCTCATGTCCCAGGCGAGGTAGAGAGAGAGAGAGAGAGACAGACAGAAAGAGAGAACGAAACCAAGGATGAGCAAGGATGGCAACAACAAGATGGCGACACACGAACTGAATGGAACAACAGCTAGCCAGCGTGGACCCCAAACTGTGCGGGATTGCCATGTGTAGGTGGACATCATGCGATGTAAGCTATGTGGTGACAGCTATGTGCTGTAAGCAATGTGGCGTGAGCTATGGAGCTGAACACTATGCGGCGCAAGCTACGTGGTAAGTTGCGTCGTGTGGGCTAGCCCGTGTGAACTCGAGGTGAAGGCTGTGAGGTGCCAGCTGCGTGGTGTAAGCTATGGTGCAAGATAGCTGGTGCAAACGGTGTAACGTATATCTGAGTGTAAACCATGTGGTTTAGGCTGTGTGGTGCAAACTATGTTGTCGAAGCTGTGCCGCGCAAGCTCAGAGCACGGGGCGCCCACGAAGCGCACACGACGCGTCAACGCGGCACAACGGGGAGAAGCCAAGGGCTCTCGACTTCGTGCTTCGCGCTGCGCGAAGCGCGAAGAACTTCGCGCTCTCGCGCCGCCTCCCAGGGGAGAAGAGGATGAGGAAGGGAATCGGAGCCGAAGCGCGAAGCGCGAACAACTTCGCGCCCTCGAGGGCGCCCTCAGAGCACGGGGCGCCCACGAGGCGCGCACGACGCGTCAGCGCGGCGCAGCCCGGGGAGCACCCACCCAGCGCAACGGAGGCGCCCACGATTAGTTCGGGCGTGCCCCCCCCTACAGGCGCATTTCTTTGCAATTCCCCCAAAATGGTAAAACATCATCCGCCGACTACGGTCGGACCTAGGACAGAAGAACATCCCTCAAGAACTTGAGACCCTCCGCCAGCCCAACCACACAGAACATCCAAGGGTACCCTCCCCAGGATGCACAAGAGCATCCAACAAACACGAAGAACACTAGGGTACCCTCCCCGAACCGACCTCGATCTTATACCTTGGTCCGGCTGTATCTGTTTTACTATGTCTGGAGGGACAGGCCCGACTTAGGCCCACGGGGCGCCCGCGAGGCGGCCACGCGGCGCAGCAGCGAGAAAACACACACCCTGAGCGCACGGCGGCGCGCACGCGTGCGCCCACGGGGCGGCACGAGGCGCACGCGTGGCGAGGAGTCGGAGAACCCATGACATCGCCTAAGACAACGACGTAAGAATCGCGAAGTTTTTGATGGGCCCGTCTTCCGCCACCACCAACGCCATAAGTTGGAGGGCGAGGAGGTCCTCCTCTTCCTCCTCCTCCTCCTCCTCCTCCTCTTCGTCCTCCTCCTCCTCGTCCTCCACCTCCCTCCTCCCTCCAACTTATGGTGGTGGTGGTGGTGGAAAACAGGCCCATCCATTTTTTGGGGGGGGGTCACCGGGCGATCCGCACCCCTCAAGGGAGGGGTCACCGGGCGATCCGCACCCCTCAAGAGGGGGAGGAGGAGGAAGAGGAAGGAGGAGGAGGAGGAGGCGGGGAAGGAAGCATACCAACACACTCGGAGCAACACTCAAGCCAACCTGCCATAGGCGAGCCGTCCTGCGCAGCCGACGTAAGAATCACGAAATGCAAGCACTGTTTGAGGAATGAGGCTGGCCAAGGAGAAGAGAAGCCAAATCGTCAACCTGGCGCACGATCCAAAAACGTACTTTGAAGCAGTCGTGAGCAATGCTACGCAATGCAGTGCGAGGCATGGCCAGGAACCGTTGCTTGAGATTGCGTGGCTTTGCTTGGTATTGCTTGGTGGTGCGTGAAATTGCATGGCATTGCGCGATATTGCTTGGCATGCAGTGGCACAGCTTGGCATTGCTCGGCGTTGCTTTGCGTGGTTTGTCAGTGCTTGGCATCGTTGCTTTGCATTGCTTCGCATCGCTTGGCGTTGCTTGACATTGCCTGTAGTTGCTGCTTGGCATGGCTTAGCATTGTTCGGTGTTGCTTGGCGCCGCTTGGCATTGGTCGAAATTGCTTGGCATTGATTGGCGTTGCTTGGCGTAGTTTGGCATTGATGTTCGATAGTGGTCGGCGTTATTTGGCATTGCTTGGCATGGCCATGGATTGCTTGGGAGCGCTTTGTATCGCATTGCTGGCTGCCGTCGCTTGACATTGCTTGGCATTGGGTTGTATCGATTTGCAATGGCGTGTACTGCTTGGCCTTGACTTGCATTGCTTGGCATGGCATTTCTTGCCACTGCCTGGAACTGCTTGGCATACCTTGGCGTCGCTGGGCATAGCTTGGCATTGTTTGGAATGTCCTGGTATTGCTTGGCACTGCGTGGTATTGCTTGGCACTGCGTGGAATTGTTTGGCATTCTCTGGCATTGCCAAGCAACGCCCAGGAACACCAAGGAACCCTGGGAAACGCGGGGGGGCGTCTCCTCAGGCACAAGGCAGAAGACGACCAAAAAACCCTGGGCAATGCCGTCGGGATGGGCCCAGCACCCACCGTCCTTCGCTTACAAACGAGTCAAGCCCCTCAAGCACCACCGACTGCTTGGAAACATACTGCGTTGGGGCGTCCGATTGCGCACGCATCTGGTCCCAGATGAGTCTTCGTTGAGACTCCCGAGGGCGAAAGCACTGTTCAACATAGTGTTCATAAGAAGGACGCCTGTTCGAAACTGTCATGGCCAGCGCACTGGGAGTTCGGCCAGAACTCTGAATATGGAACAGAAAACGCACGACGACCTCACACATCGAAACACCGTGGTGCTGCGTGCATATCTCTTCTTGGCGATTGCTTGGGAAACTAGGGGCGCATGGCAACAAAGTAGATGTGCCACCTACACACGCATGCATCTGCGGCGCATCCATACCCTCAGGCGTGAATGACTCGTGAGTGCGGCTCCTACAGCAGCGTATTCATTTTTGGCACGTGCCCCTGTTCCCCAGAACGAACATTTGACGCGCCAGATGGTTTTTAAGCGGGAATGCACAAGCGGACAATCTAAATTGGAAGCGGTACAGAGATACGGACCCTGCACAATGTCAATCGATCACGACAACTGCGTGCACCACCCGAGTGCCGCTGAACCACCGTCACAGCCCCTGCTCTGGCTTGCAAATTTGGAGACACCCTCTGCAATGCGAGTCCTGATCGGCACGTACACGACGGCATTGACAGGTGAATCGTAGCGTTCATTTGTCCATGATGCCTTGATGACCTGCAACAACGTTGCAATCTGACGCATACCATTTCAACATACGCAACGGATGTAAAGACGAGAAGACTGACAATCACATGCGCAGAGTTTAATCATGACAAGCACAAAGGGATCCAATGGCATATTGCGGCTTACGTGTGCAAGGGCGCGAACGCGGGCGCACGGGACCACCAACCAGGCAACACAAAACAGGTAGCCAGAGGGCTGAGAGAAGGCCTACGGCGTACGGCCCGCGCCTTTCTGCTGCACACTGTAAAAATGCGCTGAACACCAATTGAGATCAATTAGCCGCGCCGCAACTGCACTGACTCCTGACCCTTCCGTTCCCCCTCCTTCCTCCCCGAACGCAAACGAAACTGCCACACTTTTGTACCATCCAAAACAAAGATGGGGATGGGAGAAAGCCGCGAGACTTGAATCGGAATTGAAGCCGACGGTACCAAGAAAGTGCAGATGTGTCTCAAATCTGTTGCGCACTTGATGACGCTGGGCGGAAGGAGAGGCGTCACAGAGCTAGGGCAGCAGCAACACGTGGCCTCGTTTTCATAGGACAAGTTCCCAAATTCTTTCCGAATTCTTTCCTCAGAGAAGGGCGGCGGGGAGGGACAGCATTACAAGGAGCGGGCAAACAATCCTGCAATCAATGATATGAAACATAGCTGGCGGAACACATCTGAATATCAAAACTGAGGTAGCATGCTCGAAACAAGGAGACTCGATGAATTGTTGGACCTGTGTATAGGGGAAAGGCAAACCCAAGGCAGCACTTGCATAACAACCGCAACCAAGACAAACACTGAACACACACAGGCACTTTCGGGCGAATCCAACGACAATTCCTGTGACTATCCCCGACAGACTCCTGTAGCATACGTTCCATACATGCATGCCACTACCGTGTCTTCTGCGGCAACGCGAGGTAAGCTCCGGAATCTCCGCGTAGAACTGATCGACCTGGTCTTGAGGTGGGGGATTGCTTCCTCTCGAAAAACGTATGTTGTACGCTTCCTGGATCATCTCCTGGCGCCTGCAATGAGCGGAGACACATACGCCAAACGTCTGCGGGCCATGTATCCCATGATAGGAGAGGACGAAACACTAGACGGACACAACTAACCACAACTCATGCTATGGTGAACCGGGCGAATCAAATTGCTGGAATTTACTGGCACACCGACCGTGTCGAGGAACACCATCCACGCACGTTCATCTACGGGCAGCTTACCATGCGTTAACTGATGAACGTTCCAAGTCACCACGTGCGAGCATCGCCTACGGCTTCCACGGTTGAACTGAACAAATCCACTAGTGAGATGTTGCTCGCACACGGCCACGTGCAGTGGCACGCAAACATGTCGTCATTGACGACAACAATACTGCAGACGGCAAACTCTCACAGGCGGAATTCAAATTGCATAAAATTCAAACTCTCCGCACACGCCGTCGACAACGTGGGCATGCTGCAAGAAAATAAACGAGCAACACGAACCGGAAGATCGCAACACGCAGACCCGGCGCATGCGTGTGCCGCAGTGCATCCATGAGACTCGCCCTGGAACTCGAGATGGAATTTGCAAGCGTAGCGTGTGCAAGCACAGCGTCGTGCATGGGCGGAACAGACCACACGACGGTGCGAGATGCATCAAATCATGTGCTGCGCATGTACACCTCGAGCGCAGCACACGTCTCCAACCGCCGAGATGCGCGCGCAGCGACGCCGTCGAGGCCGCTAGGCTCGCTGCAAGGCGATGGACTCATTCATCGTGGTGTAGTTCCGCGGGAAGCGGACGATCCCGCCGTTGCTGGAGGCCCGCTGTTGTCAAAACGTTCGCATCCTCGGCAACCGATCCGAGCCAAGCATCGAAAGGTCGCTTGACCTGCGCGGCCGTGCCGCGTTCTGCTGTACGCCGCGGCGTGCCTGCGCCACCTCCCCTCGACTGGCTACGCACCACTAGACTCACGGGGCAAAACTGATCTACCCCAGCGGCATCCCCGAGCCCGCTGGAGATGCGTGGACGCGCAGCTGTGCATAGACGAAGAGAAAGAGACACTGAGATGAGAGCGAGCGAGGGTGATGTAAAGCAAATGTGAGGGATGAATGAGGAAACATAACGCCGAAAGAGTCACAAGGATTACAACAGACTAAAATTGCAAGAATCGGAGGGGGCGCCCGTACTGATAAATAAGCGTCCAACCGTTGTGCATTGCAAGCAACATCCGCTGGCCCCGAACGTTTGGGGCCGGATGTGGATAACTGAATGGGGAAACACGTTGGGCAACACGTAATCTTCCATCCTCTGTCCTTGCCTCTTCGCTTCTCGAGTCATCGCGCCGGCACCTTCAGCGGCGACTGGGCAGGAGATGGACAGTGGGTAGGAAGCTGCAGATGAAACGCAAGCAAGACGAACCGACGCGCGCAAGCAAAACGAACCGATGAAGACACCTTCCTGCTGCCTGCCCGACTCAATATCCGCCCTCTTTCCCTGAATCGCTCTTCTCGTCTGCATCTCAAATCCACCCCGTCCTCCACCATCCGCGTATCCATATTGAGGGGTCCGTTATACACCCGGCTGGCATGGTAGAAAAAATACATGCGAACAGACAAGGAGCATCCGAGATTCCATGATCCATTGAGCTTGTCGTGCGTGCAGCGGAAGGGAAGGAAATGGGACGAGCAGGAGAAAGGGGGAGAACAGTGGAAAAGGAGCAGTAGTGACATGCTCGGATGTTGAATCCTGGCCACGGGCCATTCCTTATCGAAAGGGCGCATCTCTTGCAAATGCCCTCGATATGTACTATCCAAAGTAAAAGACATGCACCAACGGAATCAATCGCCACAGGTATCTGCAAAGTCTCTGGCTTTTGTGAAGATCTTTGCCAAATCCTTATCATAATCGCATCATACCCCATCGTCCACAAATCCAAACGGAATGGCAACAGCCCGCTGTATCATACACCACGAAGGCATTGGGGCGATGTCGTTCACCGCGCTGTCCATCAAAGAGTGAGCGCCTGGAACAGAACTCTTCGGTGGGTAACTGGGAGGCCAAACAAATGAAACCAACAAAGGGTCAAACCAAAAGAGTGGAATCCTCCGTGACGAAGAAGCAATCGTAAATACAATTTCGTGACGAAGAAGCAATCGTAGATACAATTTCATACAAATAACAAAGATCACGTGGATATCTCTCACAGCCTCTCTGGGCTCACACCTCAAGGGACATTTGGTCGCCATACGTCAGAACCGCGGACGATTATTCCATACATTCTGCAATTAGCTTTCTGTGCAAGGTACTGGGACGGGACGAACTCCGGGTTCGCTGAACAGGGGACCCAGGAAGAGAAGGGGGTTCGCGCATCATGGTCCGAAACACGTGCGCAAACGAACGGGCTGGCAAAAACCTTGAAACAGAAACCATGGCACCTCATAGGTTGTCATGTATTCCGTGTCTCTGGCGTTGGTAACCGCACATGTCTAGACCTCACATTCCCTCTTGGACGTCCCCACGAAATACTTAGCCCCAGCGCGCCAGCAATGGACAAACAACAACACACTGATAGACATACAAAATTGGAGCACCGCACGGGTCTTTTGCATCGAAGAATGAGACCCCCTCCCCGGCGAGGAGCGTGCCAGGGGCGGCGCCCGAGGCGCCGCCAGTGGAGTCTAGCGCCGATCCAAGAAATCTTCGCGGCACTCCGGAATACTATGTGTATACAGCGCGTCTTCTGCTTGCATCTGTCTTACTCTCTATATCTATGTATGTATAGATATAGCTGTTCCAAAAATACTCACATTACATATACAAACATATGTACATACATCTATACATATAGATATACATATATCGCGGTGCCGGCCGTTACTGGCCCCGGCCGCCCCCGCCCCTCCCAGGTGCCGTCACGATCCGTGCTGGCGCGGTCTGGGGATGCGTCAGGGATGCCCACGAAAGCTCAAATAACGGATGCCAGTTAGGATCTCTTATGGCACAGCGCGCACCATGCTATGGATACGCCAAAGCCTGCGATAGATGGACGCGGACGGCTAAGCGCAACATTCGGTGATGGACAGACCCCCCTTTAGTAAAACGTGGTTTAGTGAAAACGACCTGAGGCCCAAACCTGGCGGGCGCAAGCCTGGAAAATAACGGCCACGGCGCCCTCTCGAGAACCAAAAACGGACAATTCACTAATCGACGTGTCACTGTTGGGGGTTCTGTCCACCCCCGAAACATAGGGGCTGCCGAGAATCCCACCAGTCCTCCAGGCGCGGGTGATTTAGCGAGCTTTTCCTCTTCCGACCTCCTTCCTGCCCCTCCGTGGGAGGGCTTCGCCCCGCTCCTGCCCTACCCCGCCCCTTGGTCAATGGAAGGGGGAAAGGGGGCGCGACCGATTGGAGCGTCCAAGATGGCCTCGACGAGAAGGCACAAATCCGCCGACCCCTTGGGGCCCATCGGCGTCTGAGATGCTTCCCCCTCCCAAAACCCCTCCCCCGGGAGCCCAGTCTGGACGATTTGGAGAGGGGGGGTCCCCCGGGAACTGCTGGAACGCGCCCCGGGGGACAGGCCAAGAGGGCCCCAAGAGGCCGTCTGGACGGTCCACGAGGGCCACGATCCAAAGCGCTCGCGCTGGCCTAAAGACAGTCCAAAAGGCCCCCAAGACGCCCCAAGAAACCCCCATGAGGCGTCCCAAAACAGCCTCCAAGAAGAGCAAAAATCGTCTCATTCCTATGGGGAAGCGTGCATTTTTAGTACATTCGCGTCTTGTGCGCCCACGACGTCTCAGACGGCCCAAGAATCCTCGTAGATCGCCTAAAGACAAACCAAGAAGCCCAAAGAGGGGCCCCCGACGACCCAAGAAGGCCCCCAAACCGCTCCAGAAGCCCCCAAGACAGCCCGGGGGGGCCCAGGGACAGCCCCAAAAGGAAGCCCAGAGGGGGAACCCGAACGTACATGTCGAGCATTCGACTCCAAAGCGCTCCATTGCCCCCAACAAGCCCACAGGGAACCCCGAGAGGCCCCCAAAAAGCCACCACGACCCACGAGACCCCATCTGCCATCCGCGTGGCCTCGGTCCCGCATCCCAGGAACGGTGGCGGGATGTGCCGAAGGCCATTCGATCCGCCGCCCCCTGTTGATTCATCACAGGGGTGCTTGGCGTGCTGAACTTCTTACGGTTTTGGTTTTGGTTCTTTTTCAAACAACTCTCCCAATGAGCTCCGGCGTGTCCCGCCGGGGTCCCAGGAGGATGCCGAAAGATCTTCCAGAGGTGGTCGCAAAGGGTTTTTCCGTTCCAGACGGCTCCAAGATGGCCTCCAGGATGCCTCCAAGACGGCCAAGATGCCCTCCGAGACGGCTAAGATGGCCCCAAGATGCCTCCAAGACGGTCCAAGAGGCACCCAAGACGGCCTAAGATAGCCTCAAGATGGCCCAAGACGGCCCAAGAGGCCCTCAAGAGGCCTCCAAGACGGCCCAAGAGGCCTCCAAGAGGTCCTCCAGGAAGGCCCGAAGAGGCCAAAATCGTTGATTTCCGCTTGGTTTTTTTTTACAGATTTGGGCATTTGCCCATTTTCGGCTTTCCGACGGCCCAAGACGGCCCAAGAGACCTCCAAGATCGCCCAAGAGGCCTCCAAGGTGGCCCCATGACGGCCCAAGAGGCTCCCACGACGGCCCCAAGAGGGCCCGAAGACGACCCAAGAGGCCGCCAAGACGCCCACGATGGCCTCCAAGACGCCCAAGATGGCCTCCAAGACGGCCCCGAAGCGCCCCAAGAGGGCCCCAAATCGGTCCAGAAAGGCCCCCAAGACGGCTCCCGACGGCGTCAGACGTGCCAGGAACCCACCAAGATGGCCGAAGTTGGCTCGAAGCTGGCCCAAGACGGCCCAAGAGGCCCCCAAGAGGGCCTCCAGGAAGGCCACACCCTGCGAAATTCTTAAGAAATCATGGGTTAAGAAATTCATAGTCTCAGAACTTGAATAAAAACCCAACATTTCTATTAAAATCTTAAGGTGTACATTGAAACCTCTAGAATAATCGAGGCTCTGCCCGAAAACATAAGTTTTTTTAAGCATCGCCTAAGGTGCAGAAGAGGCTAAACGCATGGATTTTCCTAAGGCTTTCGACGGATTTTGACAGTTGCTTCTTTTCGGCCTTCCGACGGCCCGAGACGGCCCAAGAGCCCCCAAAGATCGCCGAAAGATCGCCCAAGAGGCCTCCAAGATGGCCCCAGAACGGCCCAAGAGGGCCCCAAGACGGCCCCAGAAGGCCCCCAAGACGGCACAGGAGGCCTTTTAGACGGCCAAGATGGCCTCCAAGACGGCCCTGGAGCATTCCAAGAGGGCCCCAAGTCGGCCCATAGAGGCTCCCCAAACGGCTTCCGACGGCGTCAGACGGACCAGGAACCCACCAAGACGGCCGAACATGGCCCTAAGATGGCCCAAGACGGCCCAAGAGGCCTCCAAGAGGGCCTCCAGGAAGGCCAGAAAAGGCCAAAATCATTGATGTCCCATGGGTTTTTGAAGGATTGTGGCATTTGCATTTTTTCTGCCTTCCGACGGCCCGAGACGGCCCAAGTGCCACCAAAGATCGCCCATGAGGCCCAAGACACGGCCCCAAGAGGCCCTCAAGACGGCCCAAGAGGTCTCCAAGACGCTCAAGATGGCCTCCAAGACGGCCCAAGAGCCTTCCAAGACGTCCTCCAAGAAGGCCCGAAAGGGTCAAAATGGCTTCCAGACAGCCAAGATGACCTTCAAGATGCCCACGTGTTCCCCGAAGGCTTTCCAAGCCGACTCGGGGAACACGTGGTCCGATAGTTTGGCAGGTCTGGCCTCAACGTTCGGCCACATAGTCGCTTCCAAAAAGGCAGGGGGCGGCGGTGATTCGCCGTAGGCGTCTCCGATAATCCCCCGCCAGGTATTCAAACAGATGCTTGCCAGCTGTGCACGTGGGTTCTCCCACGCTCCCCTTGTGCACGGCGAACACTGAATAGGTCAGCCGCTGAAATCACTACTGCCAATGCGGCCTGTGCCGCGATTGCCGTAGGCCACGGGGGGCATTTTTCGCGAGCGCGCGGCAGATTGTCCAAGAGGGCCTCGACACGCCCCACATTTCGCTCCAAAGCGCCCGCGACGGCTCCAAAACAGTTTTTGATAGATGCCCGCCGGTCGTCAGTAGACGTGGGTTCTCGCCCGTTCCCCATGCGCGCAGACACTGCGAATGTCAGCCGCGGACATCCCTACTGGCTGTGCGGGCGGTGCCGCGACTGCTGGGGGGCCGGGGCATCCCCTCGCGGGCACGCGATACACTGTCCGAGAGGGCCCCCGCACGCACCACCTGTCGCTCCAAGACGCCCACGACGGCTCTAAAACGGCCCCAGAAGCCCCGCAAACACTCGACAAGAGCCCCACACAGCTTTCCCAGAGGGCTTCCTAAGGCCACGTCCGCCAATGTCCCACGGATTTCGAGCGTGCTTCGGGCTCCCATCTTCTCTAATATCAAACCTTCCCACTACCGCGCCACGACGGTCGCACTGGCCACCAAAAAAGCCTCGAACTATTGCACGAAACTTCGAATACAAGCTGGTGCGGGCGGTGCCGCGGTCGCTGGGGGCCGGGGGGAATCTTTTGCGAGCACGGGATACAGTGTCCAAGAGGGCCCCCGCACGCCTCTCATCTAGCTCCAAGACGCCCACGGCGGCTCCGAAACGTATTTTGACAGATGCCCACCGTCTGCAAACGTGGGTTCTCGCAGATGTCCCCCTAAGCGGCCCAAAAGTCTGCCTCAGATGCCTCCAGCATTCGAGTAGGCGATCGACAACAGAACTGATTCACCCCAGAATTCATTTTCCTTATCGGATCCACTGACAACTTGTGGAACTTGCGTAAATCTACCAATATTCTACGTAAGTGTGTTTGAGATTCGACGTGGAAGCCAAGTCTGGAGCAAATGAATTCAAAGCATAAGGCAAAGGAGCCGCGAGATGGCTGCACGGAAAGCTCCGAAAGGGGGAACCCGAGCCCGTATTTCGACGCCTCGGCACC